GGCATCGCACCATCACCAAAAAAACGCGCTCCATGCTCTGTAAGTGCCAAGCTCAGACCAAGTGTCTGTTTAAATACTTGAACCAAGTCCAGTCCTTGCAGGCCATTAATCGTAAAGGCTGGCAATCTTAACACTCGGTAAGCTGGCCAGTCGTATCGCTTATGGTCAATAGGTGAGCAAAACTCATACCTTAAGACACCTTGATGTCGCTTCATTAATATTGATCCGGGCGGCAATGGCCACAATCCTTTAATTTTTCCAGTACGTTCATCTAGCTCAATCTCTGCATAAGCAACACCACGCTTACAAGCAACAGCTGTCATAAACTCACGCCACTCAACAGATGTTTGTTCGCCGTTAGGTTGTTTAGCAATCAGTCGATATAGTGGATGATCTGTAATGCGATCCTTACCACCGCCTTTGCGTGCCTGCAGTAGATTAATCGGTAGTTGCCCAACCGACTCAGACAAAACTTTAACAGCACAATAGAAAGCGGTAATACCATCAACTGATTTACTTGTAACTTCCGGCCCCGCGATCGACGCGCCACCAAACAGGTGGCCATATCCATCACTAGTTGCAAGAGGCATGTCTCGCGCCTCAACTGTTCTTGTTAGTAACCCCATGCTTCATACTCCTTTTTACAGCAACATCAAACATCCTGGATGCTGCCAACAATAAAATAAATCCCATTAGTAGAAATGCTAAACGCTTGTCAAATCCGTAGGTGCCATAAAAAACAAAAACAGAGCCCACAATAAATAAAACATCTATCAGATCAAACGCCTTCAAGATTGTTTTCAATACCTTCATAACTCTTCATCCTCATAGATACTTTTTGCCTGTTCCTGTCCTGAATTTCTGATTGCGCGATCAAGTGCCATAATGAGTGCCACAGCACCATCAATCTTTTCACTTGATTTGTTTTTGTCTGGTTTTTTGTTACCTGCTGGATCTTCTGCAACAACTAAATTGGTCATCATCCACCTAAGTACAGGATTACCACCATGACGCAATCTTTTAGCTAGGACATACTCAAGCAGTGACTTTGTTGGTGCAGCCATCGAATGATAGCCTTGGCCAAAAGAAATCATTTCAATGCCATCACCTTGAAGCTGCTGTGCTAATTGAACAGCCCCCCATCTATCAAAAGCTATCTCTCTAATATCGTGATCCTCTAGTCGTGAAACAAGATCACGTCTAATGAAAGCATAATCAATCACGCTTCCCGGTGTGGCAATAATCCAACCTTCCCGTACCCATTGATCATAGGGAACACCGTCTCGTTTAACGCGCTCTAAAATAGAATCTTCTGGTATCCAAAACAGGCATTCCACATCTAGGCAATCATCTTCATCATTTGGATACACTTCAACATAAGCAGCCACATCAGTTGTAGAGGCCATATCAAGACCGCTGTAACAAAAACCACCTGTAGTCTCATACTTTTGAGGCAATGCTTCATCCCATTTATCAAGGGGAATATAACTACTAACACCCTCTGTCCACACGTTTTGGTCCAAACGCATAAACGTAGCTAATCTTGCTGGAACATTTTTTGCCCGTAGTGCCTGCTCCTGAAGGTACTCAATTTTTTTAGATACACCTAGATTAGGATTAGCCTTAATCCAGTTGTGTTCATCAAGGGGGTCATCACCTTCGTCAAGGCTGTAAATCATCGCAAAAAACTTATCATCTTCTAATACACCTTCTAGTACTTGCTGTGCATAAGCATGTACTTCAAAGCAGATTGAATGACGGCTGTTACCAGCTGTTGTAATTGCCATTCTAAGTGGTTGCTTACGTGCACCACTTGCTGTTTCTAAGACATCCCAAACATCACGGGTTTTGTGAGCATGTAATTCATCAATCAGGGCAGCGCTAATGTTTAATCCATCTAGGCCACGAGCATCGGAACTTAGTGGCTGGAACTTACTGGCTGTAGACGCAACACTAAGACTTCCGATCATAACCTGCACACGACCTGCTAGCTCTTTAGATGAACGTACCATCCGTACAGCTTCCTCAAATAAAAGCCTTGCCTGGTCACGTTTTGTTGCGGCTGAATAGACCTCTGCACCCGCCTCACCATCAGCAATAAGCATATACAAACCAACACCAGCAGCAAAGGTTGTTTTACCGTTTTTGCGAGCAACCTCAAGATAACAAAGACGATAACGTCGAAGTCCGTCTGGACCATACCAACCAAACAGATTCCAAACAACAAATTGTTGCCAAGGCTCTAATACCACAGGCTGTCCAGCCCATTCACCTTTACTGTGTTTTAGGAAGTTAAAAAAATCTAAAGCGTGTTTAGCTGCGTTGAAATCAAAAACAAGACCACGCTCGCCACCCGATTCCAGATCGTTCAAGTATCTTTTGCAAGACAGTTGAATCCATTTACAAGCAACAATATCACCACAACAGACAGCAAGTGCGTACTGATGTGCAGGATGTGTTTGAATAACAGCTGGTAACTTCATGGCTGACCGGACTGTTTTCTGTTTGCGTAATCGTCAAAGCTATCTTGTGTTGGCTTTGACGGGAGTGACTGACGCGCTCCGGGTGTAAACCCAAAGCGATCGTAATACTTGATTACGTGGTCACGGTATTGCTTGATCAGTGCTGTAGCAGGATGCTTAACAAGACCGCCACGATACCCTTGGACGACTGCACCGTCATTTTCAACCTGAACCTCTAACTGCTTCAGCATTGCGCGGCAATGACAGAAATCAGCAAAAGCATCAACATCCATATTGGTCAGTGTGCCTTGCTTAATCGCAAACGGGGCCAGCTCCTGCCAGGCTAACAACGAAGGCCCGGTTAGATCTTTAGGTGGAATAACCTGATCACAATCAGGCTCAACAAAAGCCCGTGCTTTATCTTCAGCTGTTGCTGTTCCCTCGACGACTCTCAAGATTGCAGCTTTAGGTTTTGGCCCACGTCGCCCCATCAGTAAAGACCTTCCTCCCCGGTTCGCTCTTGCCAATTAACTCGTTTAAGAGCGCGTCGACTACACCCAGTACTGCAGTATTTTCGCCTTCTCCAGTTTGTAATTGACTCACTATCTCGACGCAAATAATCAGCTCCACAGTAAAGACAATTTTTCTTTTTTCTGGGCTGGCTTGTAGGCTTCTTGCCTTGCAATACATCAATTTCGTCAAGCAATCTACGAAGCATTACAACGACCGAAAGCGGCCAGCAACCAGCGCGTCTTTCCTCTTGTCGCTTAACCTCATCTCGTATTTCATCAACCGAATACATAGGGCTACACAACCGCCTTTCTTCGCTCACGAAAATCACGCTGGAGTTCTTCACAGTAACGCTCATAACAATCTTTGCAGTAACCCTGAATCGTGCCGCCAAGCTCTGATCTTGGCCTCTCGCACCAACCTTTGCATTTAGGATCTGGGGGCTTGCAGGAATCGGAAATGTCCCAGGTCATCGCCCTACGAATGAGTTTTAAAATTCCAGATTCATCCTGCAATTGTTTGGCTTCGTTCTTGTACCAATCGTAAGCCGATTTAATCACAACATCGACACGGCGATCAGGATATTCTGAGCGCAACATCTCGTAGAGATTTCCCGAAATTGAAAATTCTTGACCCGTTTTTAATTTAAAACAACAACCAACAACATCTGGATGTTCAGAGTGCTTAACTTCATCAGATGGTGTTACAGCAACATCAGGACTCTCATTGCTAGAAACAACAACAAGACCTCTCTTGTTGTTGTTCTTTTTATTAAGGTCATGGTCATGGTAGGGGCGGTCACTGACCGGACATTGTTCCTCATTTTTATCATTTTCAGGAACATTGACCAGACACTGTTCCTGATTTTGGTGATTTTCGGGAACATTGACCAGACATTGTTCTGCTTTTGGTTTTTGACCCCTGGAATACTTTTTTCTAAGATAGTCCGGTACATGATCGAGTAAATCATGTATTTCGTAGCCACCCTCAACTTGATTAACTAGCCCAACGGTAACAAGTGCCTCGCATAATTCACCATCACTTCCTTGCCAATCTGCTGCTGCTTCAAGATGTAACGTTGATTTAAAGACAGGCAGATAGCCAGGAGCGATTTGTTCATAAGCCGAATGCCACAACATTTCTAAATGGCCCAATATATAAGGATCTGGAATTTTAAGTAATCTTCTAAGCATCTTAAATTTGGGGTGGCTCGTGACCGCTAGTTTTGCCATCTCTGTTTTCCTATTTCATGTAGGGTTTGTTTTATTTCATGTAGGGTTTGTTTTAATTGTTGATATTAAGCATCGTCTTACCATCTAAGCTGAACCAGCTTCAGATGGATAGAGGCTGTTGTATGTCTTTAGGCGTTTAATAACCATTGCGACATAATCCATATGCTTACGGTAATGTCGATAGTTATGTTGTCTTCTGATTGCTGTCCAACGATATCTGTCGAGACGGTCACGTTCAGGCTGCTTGAGTCGTTGCCAAACAGGATGCTGTTCGATCATTCTCACAGCTCGCGGTAGCGTTACCCCATCAATCAAGCCATTTTTATAGTCAATACTTACAGGCATAAACATACCTGTGCAGAAAACAAAAAACCCTCGGCCACACACGCGCGCTTGCACATACGGTCAATACAGAAAGACCTCCAGAAATTTACACCCCCTATCCCTATTTGTGTTAAAAAGTAAAAGGAGTAGGGGAGGAGTATCGACTGTTTTTGTGCACTTGTTTTACTCACGCAAAACTCACGCATTCGGCAAAAAAGTTGCCAAAAACGATAGAATATTAAATTATTTAGTATTTTTTTAAAAAATAGATAAAATCGGTCAAGCTTATTAAAAACAAGGGCTGCGCATAGTTTTATAGAGCTATGAAAACTTATAAAAAAGGCGGGGGCAGTATTTTGGGTACAATATATAATTCATTTTATAAGAGTATTATCTTTGAAATTAGGTATAATAGGCCGGCTAAATAGATTGCCATATAGATGGCAGGCAGATTTTTGAAAAAGAGAATAAGATGGCGAAAAAGAAGGTAAAAAAACGATCAAAACCAGGCAGTGCTGTAACAGCTAAATCGAAAAAAAAACAGCAAGAAAATCTACCAGAAGTTAATCCAATACAGAACCAACTTGCATCGATATGTTTAGTTATTAGCTCTATAGTGATGGCTGTCTGTTTTATTGCCCCTTGGTATCAGTCAGCAGAGATTGTAGTAACAGGATTAGATATACTTTTTCGTTTTGAGTCTCTACCTAATCTGTTGAAAAATCGATTTAATATCGTTGGTGGTGTTTCATTTGTGATTCTTATGCTTGTTTGTATTGGTATTAATTTATTTTATGGTGCCATTTGGAAAAAACATGCAGAGAAATACCAAGAACAATTGTCAAATATTGGTATTGTTTTGACTGTAGCATCGATGATAATTGGCCTTATTTTAATTTTACTTATGACTAATGCGAAGGTAATTGACCATCTTTACTATGCTTCTAGTATGAATACCAAAGGTTTACAAGCAGGCAATGGTGCCTTAGTTCAGGCTGTTACCAATGGTATTACCTGGCTGATAAAATTTATATCAGCTCCAGCTACAGCCGTGGGTATTGCTTTTTTGATTGTAGGGTGTTTGAATCTACGTTTATTACAAATCTTAGACCGTACCCAAGGTAGGACCGAGACGATGTTAACATCACAAGACTGGTTTTTCTTATTGGGTGGGATCTCTTTAGCATCTTTTCTACACTATCAACTAGTTTGTTATAAATTAATTGTAAAAGCGCCACAGGCGTTGATTACAAAGTTAAGCACACTACGCTAAATCAATCTGTAACATCAATAAGGTCAAAATAAAAATTGTCACGTGACCTTGGTCATCCTAGTTCGCTAAAACATCAGCAACCCAAACGTAGTCATAAACGACTACGCTGGTGGTATTTACTTCTACTTTTGCTTCCTATTGTAGGGCTACTCTTAACATTTAAAAATGATAGGCAGCATCAATCTATACAAGAAGAAGTAAGTCAGCCGGTTTCAGAAGCCCCTCAGCCTGTTGAAACTACAGAGTCTTTAGAGACAATACATCAAGAAGAGCTACAAACAATCCCCAAAGTACAGCCTGAAGCACGTATACGTTTTGGTCCAGTAGATCCATTTCAACGTCTTTCCATAGTTCTTACCTCTGGACAAACCTTATTTCAAGCAATTATTGCTGGAGGTGTCCCTCGTGATGAAGCAAATGTAATCATTCGTGAATTGCAAAAATTTATTGATTTTAGACGTTTACAAACAGGTGACCGATTTGAAGGTATACTTTGGCTTGGAGAAAAATTAATTGAAGCCACGTTCTACCATGGAAAATTAGATCGTTACTATTTGACTAACCAGAATGGTAAGTTGTTGGTAACCGCTGATCCTATCGAGCTTCTTACAGTTACAGAAACTGTCCAAGGCATTGTGAAATCTAGTTTATTCGAAGCTATTTATGAAGCTCAAGAAAAACCGCTGCTAATTATGTCATTTATTGATTTATTTAGTTGGGATTTTGATTTTAATGTCTCAACTAAACGGGGCGATCGTTTTGAGATGCTTGTTGAAAAACGTTATTTGAAAGATAAATTTTTTGGCTATGGTCCTATTTTGGCAGGTCGTTATATGTCTACAGGCGTCAAATTAGAAGCCTGTTGGTATCAGCCTGAAACGAACCCTAAGATTGCAGGATATTATCACCTGAATGGTAATGCAGTTAAAGGTGCATTCTTACGTACGCCTCTAAAATATACGCGAATTTCTAGCCATTTTACCTTGAATAGATTTCACCCTGTCTTAAAAATTCGTCGACCCCATCGTGGTATTGACTATGCTGCTCCACTTGGAACACCGGTTTATGCTGTATCGAGCGGTGTTGTAGTAGATGCCCGTTGGATGGGAGGAGCAGGTCGTGCCGTACGTATTAAACACCCAAATGGTTGGATTACAAGCTATAGCCATTTGTCAAAAATTTTAGTTAAAAAAGGACGGCGTGTTCAACAAGGTCAAGTTGTTGGTCGTGTTGGTAGTAGTGGCTACTCAACAGGTCCCCATCTTGACTATCGTATCAAAATTAATGGGCGTTTTGTTAATCCGCTAAAAATAAAATTTCCTAAGGGGAAATCTGTTCCTAAAACACACCTTGCTGATTTTAAACAGCATTGCCAGCTACAGCTAGCTAAGCTAAATATTCAATAATTACGTCACCATAGTCTGGGTTTATACGTTTTTCAAGTAGCCAGCATCTTCTAAAAAAACTAATACAGCTAGCAATTTAACGAATATTATAGAGTAATAAAAGTACCCTAATTGACAAGGGTTCTCAATTAGGGTACTTTTATTAACTTAAATGAAAATCATTATTATTTTCAAAATGGAGGCCTATAGCAATTATGAAAATACTGGCTGAAACAGATTTATGTCGCGTTCGAGAAAATAAGTGCGGGTGTTTAGTGGTAGACGTTGGTCCTGTCAGCCTGCGTATTAAAGCTAGCCTTTTATTTGAAGCTAGCCAAGTTTTTATGCATGCATACAATAAGCTTGCAGCAGCAGGCAAAGTAGAGTCAGCGGAACGGTTACATCTTTATTCAGATAACGAAAAAAGTCTACAAATAAAAAGCTCCTTAACATCTAACAGTATTAATTAATTATCTAGAATTATAAAAATAGAAAGTCTAGCCAAAATGAAAAAAGTTAAAAGTCGCCAGTTCGTATTGCATATTACAAGCTACCTGATGATGTTAGCTTTTATTGCTTGTGATAGTAACAATACAGAAAGCAATGTAGAAAAAAATGCCCTTGACCAAGAACTTGCCCGTAGTGTTGTCAACAACTATGCAAGTAATATCTATACTGCCTATTCAGATGTTAAATCTGGTGTTGCAGAGCTTAAAACAGCAATCGATACCTTTGTTGATAATCCTTCTGAAGCAAGGTTTACAGCCGCAAAACAACAATGGTTAGCTGTCCGTGAACTCTATGGCCAAACAGAAGTATTTCGATTCCAAGATGGACCTATCGATGATGCAGATGGTCCTGAGGGGCAAATTAATGCCTGGCCAATGGACGAAAATTTTGTTGACTACACCATTGGAATTACTGATGCTGCTCTAGAGCTAACAGGTATTGTCAATACAGGTATTATTAACGATCTAGCAAATTTCCCAACCATCAATAAAGAACTTTTATTACAACAAAATGAAAATGGTGGAGAAACAAATATTGCAACAGGGTTTCATACCATTGAGTTCTTACTTTGGGGACAAGACTTAAGCACATCAGGTCCTGGTGCACGCTCCTATACCGACTACTCTAATCCTGTCTCGCCGATTACAAACCCGACACGTCGTGGAACATATTTAAAAGTAGCGGTTGAAATTTTAAATGATGATATCCAATCATTGGTTGATGAATGGGATCCTAATCGCAGCAGTAATTATCGTGAAGCATTTTTGGCTAAGCCAGTAACAGATGCGTTAGAGGACATGTTGAAAGGCATGGGTATTTTGAGTGTTGGTGAATTAGCAGGAGAGCGTATACAAGTAGCCTACGATAATAAAGACCAAGAAGATGAGCATTCCTGCTTTAGTGATAATACACATCGAGATATTGTCACCAATGCACTTGGGGTTCAAAATGTTTATCTAGGTCGTTGGAGAACTTCTGATGGCGTAGGTCTTGATGAGTTAGTTATCAAAGCAGATAATGCAGCTCTAAATACAACCATGACAACACAATTAGCTAATAGTGTTGCAGCAGCCGAAGCGATTCCTGCACCCTTTGATCAAGCATTTCTTGGTGCTGATAGTGATTCCGGACGACAGAAAATTTTGGCAACAATCAATGCGTTATTAGATCAAGGTCAAACAATTGTCGAAGTCGCAAAAACATTTGATATTGTTATTTCAACGGATTTACCTGAATAAGAAATGTATTGGTATAGTTATGGGTCGAGAAATAAAGAGCCAGTCATTCATCTACCTAAATAGAGAAGACACCTCAACTAAAAAATAATGAACTATTTAGGAATTCCTTCCTTTAGAATGCTACGAATAAAAGAACGATTTCTCAGTTTTCTCGGCCCTTTTTTATTAACATCATGTTTAAATGTTTCTGATGTTTCCGAGTTAGATCCCGATGAATTAAGACCTGGTGGTGTTGCCACAGCACAGCTAACGGGAACACAAGCTTTTGCACAACCTATTCCTACATTATCGCGAGAAGACAGGGGGCATTTTTTTTCTGGCAACTCTTTCTTCAATAAAAATTGGGTTATTGCACCAGCAACAACTGATGGTCGAGATGGGCTTGGACCTACGTTCAATTCGCGGTCTTGTTCAGGTTGTCATTTTAAAGACGGACGTGGGCGACCACCTGTAGAGCAAGACGAAATTATGATATCAATGCTGATTCGTATTAGTATTGGTAATGATCCAGATACCGGAGCACCAATCCCAGATCCTACATATGGTGGCCAGATCCAAACACAAGCTATCATCGGCGTTACAGTTGAAGCGAACCCAACTGTACAATACGAAGAAATCTTAGGAACATTTCCAGATGGAACAACATATCGTCTACGCAAACCAACATATAAATTAGAAGAACCTGGCTATGGGCCTTTTGCTGAAGATCTACTTTTTTCACCACGTGTTGCACCACAGATGATCGGTCTTGGTTTACTAGAAGCCATTCCTGAAGCTAGCATCTTAGCCAATGCCGACCCAGAGGACAAAAACAAAGATGGTATTTCAGGTAAGGCTAATCGGGTTTGGGACCAAGCCACCCAATCTCTCAAACTAGGACGTTTTGGCTGGAAAGCCAACCAACCCAATATGCGTCAACAAGTACAAGGTGCCTTTAAAGGTGATATTGGTATTACATCTCCGCTATTTCCTAAAGAAAATTGTCCTGCGCCACAGCATAGCTGCAACAACGCACCAAATGGTGGGCAACCAGAAATCAATGAACAAAAAGTTGATCGCGTGACATTTTATAGCCAAGTCCTTGCTGTTCCTAAACGACGGGGCGCGGATGCAGATAAAACTTTACAAGGTAAACAATTATTTAGCAATGTCAATTGTACAGCTTGTCATATCCCTAAGTTTACAACGGGTAAATTCTCCGAAAATAGTTATGTTGAAGACCAAATTATCTTTCCATATACAGATTTATTAGTTCATGACATGGGCGCAGAACTTGCCGATGGGCGACCTGATTTTCTTGCCGATGGACGTGAATGGCGTACCCCACCATTATGGGGTGTCGGTTTGATTAACACCGTAAACGGCCATACTTTTTTATTACATGACGGACGTGCCCGTAGTGTAACTGAAGCGATTTTGTGGCATGGAGGAGAAGCTGAAGCCTCTAGAGAAAAATTTAAAAAATTGAGTGCAGTTGACCGAGATACTTTAGTTCAATTTGTAAACTCTCTCTAACCGGTTGAACTCGCGATGAGAGCAAAGTTTTATTTATATAGCATACTCTTTACAGTTCTGGTTTCAATGCCGATGCTTTCTTGTGACGAATCGACTATTCGAGTAGATCGTCGAGTTGTCTTAGAACGTCTTGCCAATAATGTCATTTTACCTAGAATCAAACAATTGACAGAGGGGGCAACTCAATTCGTTGTAGCGACAACTGAACTTTGTAAAAATCCAAACCAAGATACGGTAGCTGCTGCTCGCCAAGCTTGGAAAGTGACACGACTCTCCTGGGTAGCTTATCTTAATTACCGTTTTGGTCCAGGTGTGATGCAACGTATCAAACAGACAGTTGCGTTTTATCCTGTCGGCGTTGAGCGTGTTGAAGATTTTGTAAATAGTT